AGAGAGAGAGAGAGAGAGAGAGAGAGAGAGAGAGAGAGAGAGAGAGAGAGTGAGTAGGTGTGGGGGGTGCGTGTGTTGGGAGATAGGAACCCTGCCACTAAGGGAAGAGTTGAGGGATTTGAACTTGTGATCAGAACATATTGCACAAACACAAATTGTTTTTTGGTTTTGGATTTCGGTTTTGGATTTCTGATTTCCAAGGAGGGGCTGTCTGGAACAAGGAATGAGTCACATAATTAGGTGACTTGTGCACCATCCCCCTAATGAATAAAGGAGCCAATCACTGGGCAGGTAGGTCGGATAGAGGAAGGGAGTAAGTGGGAGAGAGATAGGCCTTTTGGACAGGGATTGGGTGAGGACAGGATGTAGCTACTAGTGTCTCCCAGTTTCATGGTAGATCCTCCAGGATTCACCACCGGAGGAACTAGATTTAATATGGCTTACAAGATTAGGATTCTAGTTGTTTCACCTAGTGATTGAGTTACCATTGTTTCTGAACTAAGTTTGTGTGGTATTTTCCTTCACTCGGCAGTTGGACTGGGTTCCAGGGAGAAAGGTACAGTGGTGGCAAAGCATGGGTTTGCCAGATGTGTACCACAAAAGGCCGTGGGAGTTTTGAAGCATGGGGCTGGCAATAATGGTGACCCACCAGGGCGTGGGGAAATTTCGGAGCTCTGGTCAGCGAGTCTTCATGAGATAAGAACAGGCCATTGTCTGCCAGGAAAGAGAGTTGCTGGGTTTAGTATGGGAACTTGGTTCCCTTTTTTTAATATTACCCGCAACATTTTTCAATAGAAAAAAGAAAAAGCCATAAGGGGAACATACAGTATTGGGCTACATTCGATTATAACTATATATTCAATGTGCCATGTAAAGCTATTTCAGAAACTAAAGCCTTCACATAGGAGGTGGTATGCTATCTCAGTTTTGCCATTCAAAAGGACTTTGGCAGAGAAAGTTGGGTTTTGTTATTGTTGTTGATATTGGTAGTTGTGTTTATTTTTCTGGTGTGTATGTCCAACACACACATACACACACACACACACACACACACACAAGACATGGTGTGTCCTGGGACTGACTTGGTCAGGAGGACAGAAAGGCTAGCTGGACTGAGTAAGCTAAGACTGTAGATGATAAAAGGCTCTGGTCACCAGCTGTTTGGTTTTCTTGTCTACAAAATGAGGATAACATGAATCTTGTCCTTCTAGGATTATCACGTGATTTGACTGTACCAAAGTGTATGGTCTTGGCAGTATGTGTTGGCACACAAATGCTAAGTAATGCTTAGAACAACAAAAAGAATCATGCATAAAAAATATTGGAGGCATTGTTTTCTCAAAGTATTTTTTATTCCATGCCAAGGGGAAATTAGTTTTAACTTCCATTTCTTTTTTGTCAGAATGGAGAAACCCCATTCATGTTGGCTGTCATGGGAGGTCATGAAGAATGCAGTCAAGTGCTCCTGGCGGGAGGAAGTGATGTCAACATTCCAAACAAAGTAGGAATCTGGGCTGTGGTCAACCATACAGTGGGAGAATGGCTTAGAATATTCTTTGGAACTCTGGTCCTTAATTGATGGTTTGCTGGGTTTTTATAGAATTAAAATTTTAGTATGTCTTCTTTTGCATAAGAATTAATGATTCACAGAGATAACCTCCATTAATGTCTCTTCAGAAGCAATGTCATTTTTTCAATTCATTTGGGGAAGGCTGAAAATGAGACAGAAGGATCAAGGACCTTTCACAGCAAGATGACATTCTCATTCCACTTGTTGATACCAAATACTAAAGAAGAAAAACCTTTGCTGTGGGAAAGCTCCATGGGTCATCTTGGGCCTGAAGAATGCAGGATGCTGTCTGCCTCTGAATATAAAATACTTCTGTATTTAATTATGGTGCTAACAGACTTAGAAACAAATGTCTTAGTTACTATTGATGTGAAGAGACACTGTGAACAAGACAGTTTATAAATGAAAGCATTTAATGGGGGCTGGCTTACAGTTTCAGAGGGTGAGTTCATGATAGACATGGAGGCGGGAAGCATGGCAGCAGGCAGGTATGGCGCTGGAGCAGTAGCCACGAGCTTACATCCTGATCTGCAGGCAGCAGGCAAAGACTAAGAATGGGCGTGGCATGCCTTTTGAAGCCTCAGAGCCCACTCCCAGGGACATACCTCCTCCAACTAGGCCACACCTACTAGTCCTTCCTAAATAGTCTGTCAATTAGGAACAAACATTCAAATATATGGGCCCCCGGGGGCTATTCTTATTCAAGGGCCACAACTACATTACTAGATTCACCTTTTTGTATCAAGAGTCTATAACCTAGAACGAGCAAGAAGCTGATCATCATAATGGCTATGTAAAGATTCAGACGCATGCTGGTAGCTGTGTCTTCAGACAGGTACCACATTTTTCTGATTAATATTAAAGTGCAATGAAAATAACTCATGGCAGAAAATTCAAATGGTACCTAAAAGAGTAAATGATAAAAAAACAAAAAAAAACAAAAAAAACCATCTTGCTCCAACTCTGCATTTCAATTCTGCTCCTTGGAACCCATGTCACTGTAGTTTACTTAGCCTCCCAGGAAATTTCCGTGCATGTGGAACATGTGACTGTGTTGAACATTCACTCACAGTAGCACACTATCTGATTTATGCTACTCTGCTCTTTGCTGTTGATTTTATTTTAATCTTAGTATTAGCACGATGTGTAAATGATTCCTTTACAAAAGGTATGGATCCCCAAACAATAATGTCTTCTACCTTTGTATACTACCGCCGTGGGTAGATCCTTCTGAAAAGCAATTTGTTATTGTCTCTTCTATCACGATGGGAAATTATAATAAGAGAATAATCTGAAAGGAGGAAAAAAATCTAGGCCCTTCCTTGACATAGACGCTGATGTTACTATCAATGGCCAGAGAAGTAATACAACCTGTAAGTGCCATGAACAGCAGCTACATAAGAGTCTGGTGAATTGATCAAGTGGAAAAAATATGTTGCCATTTAAAAAATCATAATATGTTTGTAGAAACAACATTCTTGCACATAAAAATAAGGCAAATCTTAAGAAGAAATCATAATGAAGTAGTATAATAAATGCTAATAATAGATTTACATAGACATTGACAAGTATCTTAAGAGAGAATATAAATCAAAAATAGTGAGTTACTTCTCAGTGATATTGCAAGGTTATTGATAGAACAAACAAACATAGAGTAAGAATTTAGAATATGTCAGCTGCAGAGATAAAGAGTTCGAGATGTGGAATTCTGCGGTGTCCCCCAAGATCATCCGCTCCAAGTCCTTGAGCTGCCCTCCCAGGTGGGCAGGGCTCTGAGGCTCACTCTTTGCTCTGAACCTCTATAGTTTCTACATTAGCTTGTTCTGCCTTCATCTGGATTTGGCTTTGCAGTGATTTTTCACAGGTGCAAGTTCACATTCTCCCCGTCTAGGTCAGCAGACTCCCATCATCCTGCGTTTCTGAGTAAGAACCTCAGCTGGTGGGAGTTGCCAGAAGTCCACATCCAGCTCCTACCTGAGCACTTGTTTGAATAGGCTTGTTTCTCCCAAGTCACCGAGGAGTTTAATTGCCAAACCCTTGAGATAGCAGTACCAAGGGCAGAAAGGTAATCCCACCGTGGTATTTAGAGGTACAGCTTTTGGAAGGGGATTCATTCATTAGGGTCGTATCCTGGAACGTTTATAAGAAGAGAGAAAAAGACCACGTGGATGGGGATGTACACCATAGTATTGTGATACGGTGCAGCCTAGAGTCCTGTCCCTGAGCCCACTCCATGAGATGTGGATTTCCTTTTACACAGCTGAGAAAAGTAAACACCATCTCCTTCCTCTAAATAAAAATGTGATAGTAATGAAAACTTAATACAAGTTCTAGAGGCTTTGGCCTTTGTTCATTAGCACAGTTCCTAGATAAACAGTACCCATTATAGTCCAGAACTATTCCCATTCATCCCAGAGAAGACTCCCAGGAAATAACCAGTGTGGAGTAAGAAGCCAGCTGCAGCAGCACACATGGTCAAAGGTGGTTTGGACTTCACTTTGCTTTTCGTTCACTCATACAAATGCCTTTACCTGGCTGACGCCAACCTGTGGCCTCTAGAAAGTGTCTTCTGTGTTCTCTTGTGCCTCCCTGTCACTAAGGAGAGACAGTACACAGCTCAGTCATTTCTGAGGAGATAATTGTAGTAAGACTACAGATTGGCTAGATGGAGAGACAGCCCAGTGTGGGCAATAGGCTCTCTTCAGCATCATATCAGGTGCCACAGGCCCCAGAACGACTTCTGTGGACCTTAAAGACTCAGGCTTCTGGAAGCCCTACGTCATACCTTATTAAATGTATTTAAATTCGCCTACACTTCTAATATATATTACCATCGTTACTGTAAGCAGATTATTTTTATTTTTAATCATTTGGCTGCAGTAAACTTCATCTAATTTTTACGTGATTGATTTCTTAGAACACTGTGCATATACTTGGGAATTTTCAGGAGGTTTAAAAAAAAGGAAAACTGTAAGTCATTTACAAATATAATGAATATTTTATGATATTACATTTAACAATCAATGAAGTAGGAATGTGTCAATTAAATATTTATTCACTTCAATTTTGTGGCTTTCTTTTGGTACCTTGAAAGTAGTGATTATTATTTTTTTTTAAGTTTCACATATTTCTAGGGGCTGGAGAGATGGCTCAGAAGTTAAGAAACACTGGCTGCTCTTCCAGAGGAGTAGGGTTTGATTCTCAGCACCCACATAGTGGCCCATAACTGTCTGTAACCCCATTTCCAGGGAATCTGGTCTCCATGGGGACCAGGAATAAACATAGCGCACAGGCATACATGCAGACAAATAAAATAGTTGCACATATCTCTTTATTTCTTATAATGCCCATAGGCCATGTATATTGTTCCTGTATGGATGGGTAGAAGGTTACAAAGCCCGACAGTTTCTACCATAGGACACTGGCTTTGAGTTCTTCAGACATTGGTTTCTTAAGTCAGAAGCCTAAATCGGTGGCCTCAGACCTTCCCAGGGGCACCTCTGTCATTCTGATCTTAGTCTAAATGTCACTTTACCCAAAAATGCATTCTTGGTCATTCAATACAAAATAGCTGTCTGGTCAGCTTTCTTTGTTTTGTTGTTTGTTTGTTTTTGAGTCAGGGTTTCTCTGTGTAACCCTGACTGTCCTGGAACTAGGTCTGTAGACTAGGCTGGCCTAGAACTCACAGAGATCCAAACCTACCTCTGCTTCACAAGTGCTGGCATTAAAGGTGTATGCCACCATGCCTGGCTCCAGTTGGTTCTCTAAGTTTACGTTGTAGCTGACAACAACGGGCCAGTGTTATTCTTCTAACCAAGAATCTGTCAATTAGAATTTACTCTAAAGCTACTGATATACCAAATACCAGTCCACCAAGCCATGGATCAATTCATTGTCTACCTTACTGGAGTCTAATATCAGGCATTTAATAGATATGCTTACAAACATATATCCTCCTGACAGTTTGTCACATAAGTGCCCCATCATGTTTGTGGAATAAAGTGGTATTTATCTCTCCAGCATTACTGTGGCTTTAAGGAAAGAGGTAGGAGGACGTTACAGAAAGAATGGGAACCTCATGCTCAGAGATACCCATATCTGTCCAGTAAGCCTGTGATATGTGGTTGCATAGCAAAATCTGCTCATTCCTATGAGATTATCCTGGGTTATGTGACCACAAGAGTCTGTTAAACTGAAAAGGGAAGCAGGAAGGACCAACTAAATACCACTGGATTTTGAAGATGGAGAGAAGGGGTGATAAGCCAATGTATTTGGGAATCTGAAAACCAGTTCTCCCTGCAGCCTTCAGAATAGAACTTGGCTCAGTGAGACCCACATCAAACTTCCTGACCTTTAGAACTGCATGATGATACTTTAAAAACATTTTTTTAATGTTTCACCAGTTAACTTTAATAATAGCTAATCTTTTAAAAATTAGTTATTTACTTTTTAAAGTTTAGTTTACATCCTGATCACAGCCTCCCTCCTGTCTCTCCTCCCAGTCTCACCCAGACAAGTCCCTTCCTCCACTACCCCCTCCAGACCAAGCTGTACATTTGCTACGAATTTGTTTTTAAGACACTAAGTTTGGGGCAGCAACCTGTAGCCATAACAAGTATAGGTGGTTATGCTGTTTTTACAGGTGGAGATGAACAGGCTTGTACTCACAAGCCTAAGCCAGGTCACACAGCATTTAGCATCAGCTCAAGCTGGCTTTCAGTCAGCCACTCCCATTACCCTCTGTTCAGCTATCTATTGCTTCAAAACAAACAAGCAATGCTCTGTGGCTTAAAGCACCAGTGTGGTATTATCTCCCATGGTGTGTCAGTCTCAACATACAAAAGAGTCTCTAAGAATTAAGTTTATGGACAGTGTAATGTTGTAGTGGGAAATGTGTGTAACCTAAGGCTTGTTCAAGGACATTGTGGCCAAGGGACATTCTTAAGGTCAAGATGAGGAAGTTTACTTAAGATGTTTGAAATAAAACTGTTGACCATCTGGATCAACAGCAAGAGTCTTAGGTCCATGATTAAGCAGGAAGTTGCTAGGCAGATGTTCTTGCAGGAGTAATATTTTTTTAAGATTTATTTTTAACATTTATATGCATGTATATGTGTGCATGTTTGACAAGGTACATACATGTGAATGCAATTATACAGGGATGCCAAAAGAGGATGTCAGGTCTCTGGAGCTGGACTTATACCTGCATAGGTGCTGGGAACCAAACTCAAATCCTCTGCAAGAGCAGAACATGCTCTCAAGAGCTGAGCCATCTTTTTTCCAGCTTCTAGGATTATTTCTTTCCCATAGTCTCAGTTTCTTTTGTGCAAGGGTGTTGTCCTGGGAGTCTTTTGTGAATAGTTCTTATGGTGATTTGAAAGAGAGTGGTCCCCAAAGGTGAATAGGTTTGAATACTTAGTCCCCAGCTGGCGGAACTGTTTGGGAAGGATTAGGAGGTGTGGCTTGTTGTAAGAGGTGTGACATTAGGGGTGGGCTTTGAGGTTTCAAAAGCCAGTACCTTTCCCAGTTCTCTATGCTCTCTGATGTCACGACCAGGTTCTCACCTTCTGTAACCCTAAGCCAATAAACTCTTCTATGAGTTGCCTTGGTAATAGTGTCTTGTCACAGCAATAGAAAGTAACTAGGGCAGCTCTCAGCATTAGTTACATGCACACCAGACCCCTCTTCTAGAACCTCCTGCTATTATTTGTTCATCTATTTAGACTCACCAAAAGGAAGTCAATTTTGTTTCTGAAAACTTTCACAGTGGGTTGACTGGGCTCATCTGAGATAATCCTTCTTTGAGTGTGTTTACATGATTATAGTCAGAGCTTGACCAGGGTTTTGGTCATTTAAAGTTTCATTTGAACTAGATATCCAAGATGGCTCACTCACTTCCTTAGATGTTGTTGCCAGCTGTCAGATGGGAGGTCAACTGGAGCTCCAACAAGTGGCCTCTGTATAAGGGTCACCCTTGGTTAGCTTGGCAGCCAGCCCCAAGAGGAAGTGCTACGAGAATCAGAAGCAAGAAAGGAAGGGAGTGGAGGCTACTAGGCTAGCTATGGGCCCCGCCTGGAACTGGCTCCTTTTCATTTCTGCCATAGCCATTGGTCAAAGCAGTTGCTGGTCCACCTAGACTCGAGGGAGTAAAGAAATGAGTCCTAGCTGTTGATGGAAGAGTGATAAGTAGGTCAGGGAATACCAATTCGGCCACTTGGGGGAAGCCCTTATTCAGAGGACCTGAATATATTTTATGGCAACCTTATAATCAACCGTTCCTAATGCATTGGCTTGTATTGTTGTCTGTTCTCGGGGTAGGCTGCTTGGAACTGGAGGCAAAGAGTAGGGCACAGTTTTGCGCTGGGCACCACTTAGCTCAGGCACTAAGTGAAGAGACTCAGGCCCTGGAGAGTGGCAAGGGGCAGGAAGGGAGTTTCCTGCTGAAGCCATTCCTGTGAGAATGTGGAGAGCCTGGAGCAGAGGCAGGCGCCAGAAACCACTGAGCTCATTCGCTTTTGAGTTTTTTGTTTTTGTTTTTATTTTTTGGAGGCCAATGACACTCACCCATTTTAACTCAAGGAAAGGATTTGCTGGGGGCCCGCAGTGGTAAGCTTGATTCTGGAAGCAGGGATGTAACTCACATGTACCTGAGTCATAGTGTCTCGGTGTCTTAGGTCAGGCTACGATGATGGTGATGATGATGATGACGATGACGAGGACGATGACAATGACAACAACAGAGCTGGGTGGCTTAAGCAGCAAGCATTTATTTCTCGTAGTTGGAGATTGGAAACAGAGCCTGTGTACGAACAGGGTTGGGTTCTGGTGAGGACACTTTACCAGCTGCCCTGGTAGCCATTTGTTGTGTCTTCCCGTGGCTGAGAGAGGAGCAGAAAGCCCACAGCGTCTCCTCTTCCACGTCTCCTCTTGTCGGGATGATGAGTTTTTGAGTCCAGTCAGGCCGTATGACATGGTAATAGGAGACACTTGAAAACAATAGGCTTTGGATTGATCAGGCACACATTGGATTTCCTTCTTTTAGTAGCTGTACTATTTCGTTGTATACATTTTATGGAATGCTAAGCACCAACAACAATGGATAGTAATGGGATCCCCTCCCCCCTCTGTTCATTACAGCTCAATGTCAGCGCCCTGCAGACAGCGACCCGGAACGGCCACACAGCCCTTGTCAACTTTCTTCTCAGAGAGAATGCTGATTCGCAGCAGCAGAAGGAAGTGAGTCCAGTCAATCCGGGCTTAGGTGCTGGGGCCGTGGAGTTGGCTGTGCAAGTGCCCCTGGCAGAGGCACGCTGGAGATGAGATATTTCACAAGTGCCCCTGGCAGAGACACGCTGGAGATGAGATATTTCACAAG